GGTGAGTCGGGATATCCTTTAATGTAACGCAAAGAAGCTTGTGAAAAACATTAGCAGCGCCTGGTAAGTGAAAACCCGCGGAGCTTTACGTTTTATATCTGCTTGGAATTGTTTGCTTTATCAGTTTTGTCCTGTTTTAAACATCACGTAAGCAGATTTCCAGATTTCTAACGAGTACAGATTTAGGGCTGACCTAATAAATGCCCGATTAAACATTTTTAATTTAGAGTTGTCATAAACTTGATTGTTGCATAGTCTTCTCATATAACACAATAAAGGTGACTGGTTATAGACTAGGTAGGTGTTTTTTGGCGGTTCTGATTCAACTGTCAAGGAATTAAGAATTGAAAATCAACAAAATATTACCCCAAATGAGCAATACAATCCGCTTAAAAAGCTGCGCGAAAATAAAAGCAGATAAGCAACATTTTATTCCTTACGTTAGACTCCCTGCTCAATTTCCCTCGCTTCTGAACGTGATAGGAAACGATTATACATAAACGCGCTAAAGATATGTATCGGGGAAAAATATTAAGCGCATTATCTATTGTAGGGCAAAAACGTGACTTGCTTACGTTGGTTATGATTGAAAAATTGCAAATATCTTTTCCGCCTTCGTGCATAGACACCGCATAGACATTTCCAGACGGAAGCTCTTATTGACAACCATCAAAGAAAACGGCAAATTTCTTACCCTAGAAATAAGCAAAAAAGAAACACTTGCCTCGAATTTGTAGATAGTCAGCTTTTTTGAGATTCAGTCTATAGTGACCATAGTTCATCCGTTATCAAAAATGTGAAGTGGCAATGATCTCCTCCTGATCAGAAAAGAAATATGTTGTTAACGCAACATTTTTATCAAAACAAATTAGTGTTTTGACAACCTAACAATGTTCGCTTAATTGCAATTTAGCTTTTCTTAAATTAGCTTTAAACCTAATCATTATAACCAAAGTATCAGAGAGAGAGGGCTTATTAAAAAAGTAATATCAATTTTGTAATGATAATTATTACAAACGGGGAGAGAATATTAAAAAGGGGGTAATAAAGAGGGGGGAGGGGTGGGGCTCAACAGAGCTTTAACTACGTTTACGATATGTTTAAAAAAGAATACGATATGTATTCCATTTATTTCCCCTGTGTTATGAATAATAATGATCGGCCACGGGCTCGAGATAAAAGATGTTTATTCAATCTGTTTACACATCTTCTTATGCAATCAGTATGAGTAATTCAGAATTGATTGATCAGTTTCGCAATTTCATAGACGAAAAGTGCAAAGAAAAATTAAACTTGATTAAATACCTTCACGTTTTAATGATCCCTTCACACTGGGACTACACGTTTTATGTTATTTGAACTGTTGATCTGAACAGACTTTTCCTAGCAGGGATCTTATGTTGTGGTCATTTTCAATTATGAAACCTCTTTAGCACTCGTGTCAGTGTATGGGGCCATCAGTTGTTATTATCTTTTTCTCCGAATTTTATCTTTTGTATTGTAATCATTACTTCCTTCATCTATTTAGTTATTCATTTTGAGCTAAAGATTTGTAGTAAGCTGTCCCAAATTAGTTTAGCTTTGTATACCATCGTCATCATCATTATAATCATCATCATTGTTATTACTAATTATTATTCAACATTTTACAAAACAAAATTTGAACAAATCTCTTGATTCTTGTCTAAATGAAACATTGCTCAGACTACACTCAGGGGCACCCAACGAGAATATAGTTCAAAACCACTTAAACACAGCATTGTTAAACGTATTTTAGTATTTAAACGGTAGATATAGGCATATTTTTATCCCCTGAAAAATTTTCATCTGTTCGGATTTCCTAGCTGAAAGTCTAGTGATCCGAAATTCATAGGGATCAAAACTTACTTTTCTGAAAATTTCAGCAAGAAAAAATCCTCCCGAAAATTCTAGGTGACATTTTTAGGGTAAAAATTCGTTAAAAATGGGCAATTATACCAATTTTTAGATGTTCGAAAATCCTAGGAGAGGCAGGCAAGCAAGAAATTTTACAACAACTGTGCCGAAAATTCTAGATCTCAAATCGTCTTCCGAACAGATATTTTCCGAAAATTGACGTTGGGTGCTCCTGTACACTAGCGACAGAAACAATTGAGACAGGAAGACAAAACAGTAGAAACGGAAACAAGCAAAATCAAACAAACCGGAAGCCCTAGTTTCACATCGCTTTCGGTTACTCAATACTGTATCTTCAGCTGGTTGGCGTTCAATATCTGTTGATGCCAATCTTACCGATGGTGTTGTCTAGGAAGTAATATCCGCTCCCTACAGGCTTTTCCTAGCCTAGCCATCCCATACATCCCTTGCTGTTGAAGACGATGCGTGGTTGATGCGTGTTCCTATGATAACACGCGCGTGGGCGGGTTAGTCGTGAGGTGTCTGGGCGGTGATTCCTAGAAAAGCATATGATAAACATTCATTTCTGAGAAATAATTGCACGGAAATTGCGGGAGTTACAATAAACGTGTTTCAGACAGTAACAAAAACTGAAGTAAACCGAAACACAATGGACAACTTCCTTTCAAAGGAAATTTCAGTACAGAACCGGTTCTGATCACCATATGATGTTAATAATGAACTTTTATATCAGATATATATAGATATTTATAGAAACAAATAACGAAACAGCAGCGACAATCCTCCAACTGCGCCAGAAATCTATATTTAGTAAGGCAGCAACAAACTTGAACTAAATCTTGGCTGGTGAGAATGCTTTTCTTTAAAAAAGTGTAAAGCATATAAGCGCTGATTGACCTTTTTTTTTTAAATATGGACAATGTGTATTTCAAGACAGTTCACTCATATACTCACCCAATAACCAAATCAATAAAACCTCCTTTTTTCGGACTTTTTTGGTCGTTCTGTCGCCAGGCAATCTTCTCTTCAGTATTTGAACTAAAAAGCAAGGCATTTGAGATAAGTATCTATTGAAAAATATTTCTCCGTATTTGATTGGCGCTTAACCAGCTAATGTTTACAAAATCTAGAATACGTTCGCGATAGCCAGTTGAATGTTAACAGGGGCGGGTTTTAGGATCTGTAAACCTGAAGAGGGCTGGTATGGCCAGCCGAAATATTGTTATAACTGAAAAAAAACAATACACGTTGTTCTGAATCAGCTTTGCAGTAGTTTGGACTTTTCGTTTTTGAAGAACTCAGTGCCGGATCCAGATTTCGAGATAAGACGTGGGCCCGGTTTCCAAACATTTTTTTAAGCCCTTCGGACCTCTGTTTGGGCCAAACTTTAGAGGCGGGGAGGGGCGGCCCCCGGGCTCCTCCCCTAGATCAGCCACTGAAAAGGCACAGCAGCCGGGATGCTCTTGGGACGAGGTTGCGTTAGCGATTCAGCTGGGGAAAATGACAAAAATTGGACACGTTTTGGGAAGAAAGAGCTGAACTAGTGCCGAAAAACAAGAACCAAGAGCCACCAAAGCGTACTCGACCAATGACAAGCGCTATTTGAAGAATACCTGTAGACTAAACAGAGAAACGGCTCAGTACCAGTATACGTTTTCCGTAAAATGCAGACTCATAACACATATACAAGAAGAATAAAATAGCACTACAAATAAAATAATTAGTAATTATTGGATGAGGGTGGGTATGATCTAAAAAAATTATGCAGATCGAGGAGGGTGTCATTTCGGCCTCGCAGGAAAAGAAGCTCGGAGATCTGCCTAATTCTTAATGTCATTCAAAAGCCGAATCCAATATATTTTTTTAACTATATATATTATAAAAATTTTATTAAAACTAATAACAAGCTTACCTCAACGATATAAAGGGATTTTAGTCCATCAGATATTCTTCAAATCAATTATCCGTCGCGTGGTATTTTCGCTGTTCTTGCCATTTAGTTAGGCAGTAGTTTGGCTATTTCTTTTTTTCAAAATATGTCAAATTTGCCGCCATTTTCTCCAGTTCTACGAATACAGCTGAGCTGCAGCGCCTTCTACCGTCGCTTTTTTGATTAATTAACCGTAAAAGTGACTCATCTTTGAGCATATCGCCAAACATCTTCTTGATTTGGGCAACGATAACTTTCCGTTTAGTGCTAAAATAAAAGGGATAGAAAGGGTCAGAAAGCAAGAGTACAGATTGAAGCTTTTCAACTTGTGTTCCACATAATTCGGCCCTTCCCACAAAATTCGTAAATCCTCCACTCCTTTATCAGAAACAATTAACTTAAGAAACAACAGGTAGCCGTCGTCCTTATTACAATTCCTCCAGTGGGATTCAAACTCGTAAAGTTTTGTAAGAGTCCTTTTCATGACCTGTTAACCATAACGCGCATCAACATTTTTTAAACTAACAGAGCTTTGACTTACGTTTACAGGACTAAAAGCAAGTTCATCCGCATCACTGATGACATCGTCGGTAGCAAGCACATCTTTATCGTCGACCGTAGAAGTAGGATCTTCAAGTTCTGCTCCTCCGAATACGTCACAAACTGCAGCAGCAAGGCCCTCCTCAAGATCTCCGACTTCATACACAATGAAGACATCGTCGGTAGCAACCACGTCGTTATCGTCGACCGTGGAAATAGGATCGTCAAGTTCTGCTCCTCGCATTACTTCACAAACTGCGGGAGCGAGGTCCACTTCAAGTTCTGCGGCTGCCTCACGTATACAGACATCGTCGGTAGCAACCACATCTTTATCGTCGATTGTAGCAGTAGGATTGTCAAGTTCTGCTCCTGCCATTACGTCACACACTGCGAAAGCAAGGCCCTCTTCAACTTCTGCGAATGCCTCAAGTATACAAACATCGTCGGTAGCAACCACATCTTTATCGTCGACAGTAGAAGTAGGATCGTCAAGTTCTGCTCCTGCCATTACATCACACACTGCGGGAGGAAAACCCTATTCAAGTTCTGCGACTGCCTCAAGTATACAAACATCGTCTGTAGCAAGCACATCTTTATCGTCGACCGTAAGGGTAGAATCGTCACGTTCTGCTCCTCACATTACGTCAAAAACTGCGGGAGCAAGGCCCTCTACAAGTTCTGCAGCTGCCTCAACGATACAGACATCGTCGGAAGCAAGCACATCTTTAACGTCGACCGTAGTAGTAGAATCGTCAAGTTCTGCTCCTGCTATTACGTCACAAACTGCGGTAGAAAGGCCCTCTTTAAGTTCTGCGACTGCCTCAAGTATACAGACATCGTCGGTAGCAACCACATCGTTATCGTCGACCGTTGAAATAGGATCGTCAAGTTCTGCTCCTCCCATTACGTCACAAACTGAGGGAGCAAGGCCCACTTCAAGTTCTGCGCCTGCCTTAAGTGTGCAGACATCGTCGGTAGCAACCACATCTTTATCGTCGATTGTAGCAGTAGGATTGTCAAGTTCTGCTCCTGCCATTAAGTCACAATCTGTCGGAGCAAGGCCCTCTTCAAGTTCTGCAACTGCCTCAAGTATACAGACATCGTCGGTAGCAACCACATCTTTATCGTCGACAGTAGCAGTAGGATCGCCAAGTTCTGCTCCTGCCATTACGTCATACACTGCGGGAGGAAGGCCCTCTTCAAATTCTGCGACTGACTCAAGTATACAGACATCGTCTGTAGCAAGCACATCTTTATCGTCCACCGTACGGATAGAATCGTCAAGTTCTGCTCACGCCATTACGTCACAAACTGTGGGAGCAATGCCCTCTTTACCTTCTGCAACTGCCTCAACAATACAGACATCGTTGGTACCAAACACAACTTTATCGTCGACCGTAGTAGTAGAGTCGTCAAGTTCTGCTCCTCCCATTAAGTCACAAACTGCGGTAGCAAGGCCCTCTTCAAGTTCTGGGACTGCCTCCAGAATAAAGACATCGTCGGTAGCAAGCACATCTTTATCGTCGACCGTAGAAGTACGATCGTCAAGTTCCGCTCCTGCTATTACGTCACAAACTGCAGTAGCAAGGCCCTCTTCAAGTTCTGCAAATCCCCCCAGAATACAGACATCGTCGTTAGCAAGCACATCTTTATCGTCGACCGTAGTAGTAGGATCGTCAAGTTCTGCACCTGCCATTACGTCAAAAACTGCGGCGGAAGGGCCCTCTTCAAGTTCTGCAACTTCATATACAATGCAGACATCGTCGGTAGCAACCACATCGTTATCGTCGACCGTAGAAGTAGGATCGTCAAGTTCTGCTCCTGCCATTACGTCACAAACTGCAAGGCCCTCTTCAAGTTCTGCGACTTCATACACAATGCAGCCATCGTCGGTAGCAAGCACATCTCTATCGTCGATCGTACGGGTAGATTCGTCAAGTTCTGCTGCTGCCATTACCTCAGAAACTGCAGGAGCAAGGCCCTCTTCAAGTTCTGCAACTGCCTCAACAATACAGACATCTTCGGTAGCTAGCACATCTTTATCGTCGACAGTAAAAGTAGAATCGTCTAGTTCAGCTGCTGCCATTACGTCACAAACTGCCGTAGCAAGGCCCTCTTCAATTTCTGCAACTTCATATACAATACAGACATCGTCGGTGGCAAGCACATCTTTATCGTCCACCGTAGAAGTAGAATCGTTAAGTTCTGCTTTTGCATTTACCTCACAAACTGCGGGAGCAAGGCCCTCTTCAAGTTCAGCAACTGCCTCAACAATACAGACATCGTCGGTAGCTAGCACATCTTTATCGTCCACCGTAGAAGTAGAATCGTTAAGTTCTGCTCCTCCATTTACCTCACAAACTGCGGGAGCAAGGCCCTCTTCAAGTTCTGCAACTGCCTCAACAATAGAGACATCGTCGGTAGCAAGCACATCTTTATCGTCGTCTGTAGTAGTAGAATCGTCAAGTTCTGCTCCTCCTATTACGTCACAAACTGCGGTAGCAAGGCCCTCTTCAAGTTCTGCGACTTCATACACAATGCAGCCATCGTCGGTAGCAAGCACATCGCTGTCGTCGACCGTAAGGGTAGATTCGTCAAGTTCTGCTGCTGCCATTACCTCAGAAACTGCAGGAGCAGGGCCCTCTTCAAGTTCTGCAACTGCCTCAACAATACAGACATCGTCGGTAGCTAGCACATCTTTATCGTCGACAGTAAAAGTAGAATCGTCTAGTTCTGCTGCTGCCATTACGTCACAAACTGCGGGAGCAAGGCCCTCTTTAAGTTCTGCAACTGCCTCAACAATAGAGACATCGTCGGTACCAAGCACATCTTTATCGTCGACTGTAGTAGTAAAATCGTCAAGTTCTGCTCCTGCTGTTACGTCACAAACTGCGGGAGCAAGGCCCTCTTCAAGTTCAGCAACTGCCTCAACAATACAGACATCGTCGGTAGCTAGCACATCTTTATCGTCCACCGTAGAAGTAGAATCGTTAAGTTCTGCTCCTCCATTTACCTCACAAACTGCGGGAGCAAGGCCCTCTTCAAGTTCTGCAACTGCCTCAACAATAGAGACATCGTCGGTAGCAAGCACATCTTTATCGTCGTCTGTAGTAGTAGAATCGTCAAGTTCTGCTCCTCCTATTACGTCACAAACTGCGGTAGCAAGGCCCTCTTCAAGTTCTGCGACTTCATACACAATGCAGCCATCGTCGGTAGCAAGCACATCGCTGTCGTCGACCGTACGGGTAGATTCGTCAAGTTCTGCTGCTGCCATTACCTCAGAAACTGCAGGAGCAGGGCCCTCTTCAAGTTCTGCAACTACCTCAACAATACAGACATCGTCGGTAGCTAGCACATCTTTATCGTCGACAGTAAAAGTAGAATCGTCTAGTTCTGCTGCTGCCATTACGTCACAAACTGCGGGAGCAAGGCCCTCTTTAAGTTCTGCAACTGCCTCAACAATAGAGACATCGTCGGTAGCAAGCACATCTTTATCGTCGACTGTAGTAGTAAAATCGTCAAGTTCTGCTCCTGCTGTTACGTCACAAACTGCGGGAGCAAGGCCCTCTTCAAGTTCTGCGACTTCATACACAATGCAGCCATCGTCGGTAGCAAGCACATCTCTATCGTCGATCGTACGGGAAGATTTGTCAAGTTCTGCTGCTGCCATTACCTCAGAAACTGCAGGAGCAAGGCCCTCTTCAAGTTCTGCAACTGCCTCAACAATACAGACATCTTCGGTAGCTAGCACATCTTTATTGTCGACAGTAAAAGTAGAATCGTCTAGTTCTGCTGCTGCCATTACGTCACAAACTGCGGGAGCAAGGCCCTCTTCAAGTTCTGCAATTGCCTCAACAATAGAGACATCGTCAGTAGCAAGCACATCTTTATCGTCGACAGTAAATGTAGAATCGTCTAGTTCTGCTACTGCAATTACGTCACAAACTGCGGGAGCAAGGCCCTCTTCAAGATCTGCAATTGCCTCAACAATAGAGTCATCGTCAGTAGCAAGCACATCTTTATCGTCGACAGTAAAAGTAGAATCGTCTAGTTCTGCTTCTGCCATTACGTCACAAACTGCGGTGGCAAGGCCCTCTTCAAGTTCTGCAACTTCATATATAATGCAGACATCGTCGGTGGCAAGCACATCTTTATCGTCCACCGTAGAAGTAGAATCGTTAAGTTCTGCTTTTGCATTTACCTCACAAACTGCGGGAGCAAGACCCTCTTCAAGATCTGCAATTGCCTCAACAATAGAGTCATCGTCAGTAGCAAGCACATCTTTATCGTCGACAGTAAAAGTAGAATCGTCTAGTTCTGCTAGTGCCATTACGTCACAAACTGCGGTGGCAAGGCCCTCTTCAAGTTCTGCAACTTCATATACATTGCAGATATCGTCGGTAGCAAGCACATCTTTATCGTCGACCTTAGAAGTAGGATCGTCAAGTTCCGCTTCTGCCATTACGTCAAACACTGCGGTAGCAAGGCCCTCTTTAAGTTCTGCAACTGCCTCAACAATAGAGACATCGTCGGTAGCAAGCACATCTTTATCGTCGACTGTAGTAGTAAAATCGTCAAGTTCTGCTCCTGCTGTTACGTCACAAACTGCGGGAGCAAGGCCCTCTTCAAGTTCTGCGACTTCATACACAATAGAGCCATCGTCAGTGGCAAGCACATCTTTATCGTCGACAGTAAAAGTAGAATCGTCTAGTTCTGCTACTGCCATTACGTCACAAACTGCAGTAGCAAGGCCCTCTTCAAGTTCTGCAACTTCATATACAATGCAGACATGGTCAGTAGCAAGCACATCTTTATCGTCCGCCGTAGAAGTGGGATCGTCAAGTTCTGCTCCTGCCATTAGGTCACAAACTGCGGTAGCAAGGCCCTCTTTAAGTTCTGGGACTGCCTCCAGAATACAGACATCGTCGGTACCAAGCACATCTTTATCGTCGACTGTAGTAGTAGAATCGTCAAGTTCTGCTTCTGCTGTTACGTCACAAACTGCGGTAGCAAGACCCTCTTCAAGTTCTGCGACTTCATACACAATGCAGCCATCGTCGGTAGCAAGCACATCGCTATCGTCGACCGTAAGGGTAGAATCGTCAAGTTCTGCTGCTGCCATTACCTCAGAAACTGCAGGAGCAAGGCTCTCTTCAAGTTCTTCAACTGCCTCAACAATACAGACATCGTCGGTAGCAAGCACATCTTTATCGTCGACCGTAGAAGTAGAATCGTCAAGTTTTGTTCCTGAATTTACCTCACAAACTGCGGGAGCAAGGCCCTCTTCACGTTCTGCAACTGCCTCAACAATAGAGACATCGTCGGTAGCAAGCACATCTTTATCGTCGACCGTAGTAGTAGGATCGTCTAGTTCTGCTCCTGGCATTACGTCACAAACTGCGGCGCTAAGGCCCTCTTCAAGTTCTGCCACTCCATCCACAATAAAAGCATCGTCGGTAGCAAGCACATCTTTATCGTCGACCGTAGAAGTAGGATCGTCAAGTTCCGCTCCTGCCATTACGTCACAAACTGCGGTAGCAAGGCCCTCTTCAAGTTCTGCAACTTCATATACAATGCAGACATCGTCGGTAGCACGCACATCTTTATCGTCGACCGTAGAAGTAGGATCGTCAAGTTCTCCATCCGCCATTACGTCACAAACTGCAGGAGCAAGGCCCTCTTCAAGCTCTGCCACTCCATCCACAATAAAAGCATCTTCGGTAGCAAGCACATCTTTATCGTCGACCGTAGAAGTAGGATCGTCAAGTTCTGGTCCTGCCATTACGTCACAAACTGCGGTAGCAAGGCCCTCTTCAAGTTCTGCCACTTCATACACAATGCAGCCATCGTCGGTAGCAAGCACATCTTTATCGTCGACCGTAAAAGTAGAATCGTCTAGTTCTGCTCCTGCCATTACGTCACAAACTGCGGCGGCAAGGCCCTCTTCAAGTTCTGCAACTTCATATACAATGCAGACATCGTCGGTAGCAAGAACTTCTTTATCGGCGACCGTAGAAGTAGGATCGTCAAGTTCCGCTCCTGCCATTACGTCACAAACTACGGTAACAAGCCCTTCTTTAAGTTCTGCAACTTCATATACAATGCAGACATGGTCGGTAGCAAGCACATCTTTATCGTCGACCGTAGAAGTAGGATCGTCAAGTTCTCCATCCGCCATTACGTCACAAACTGCAGGAGCAAGGCCCTCTTCAAGCTCTGCCTCTCCATCCACAATAAAAGCATCTTTGATAGCAAGCACATCTTTATCGTCGACCGTAGAAGTAGGATCGTCAAGTTCTGGTCCTGCCATTACGTCACAAACTGCGGTGGCAAGGCCCTTTACAAGTTCTGCGACTGCATACACAATGCAGACATCGTCGGTAGCAAACACATCTTTATCGTCGACCGTAGAAGTCCGATCGCCAATTTCTGTTTTTCTTATTACGTCTCAAACCGCGTTTGTCAAATTCTCTTTAAGTTCTTCGTCTGCATTCTCCAAGGTAACAACGTCAGAAGCAGCCACAATTAAAACTGTATCATCATCGACTGTTGCTGGAGTCTATTCACTTACTTCAACACAAGCAACGGCGATCCCAAGTCATTCCTTTGGAATATCTTTGTCGTCGATTTCGGAAGTAGGATCAGCAACGTCTTCGACATCTACGTTTTTTTCTGTTCCAACGACAAGCCCATCGCCAACCCCTTCAGAAAGTTCCAGAGATGCTATTTCGTCGAGAGCAAGTTCATCGACGAAACTCGAAACTTTCAGCAGAGTTTCTTCGTCTTCAAGTATGACAGTGGGTTCACCTTCAGTTGTGAAGTCAACCAGCTCTTATATGTCTGTCACATTTTCAACAACTACAATTACAACACCAAAACCAGAAATTTTGAAAACATTCCGCGTAACCATGACAATAACAAACAGAGAGTATAGCATAGCTCTCGAAGACAAAAAAAGTCCGGAATTTAAAGGCTTAGCCAAGGAAATCCAGAATGAAGTTTACCAGGTATTTGAAGGGCTCGAAGGCTTCGTGAACTCGACGGTGGAGAAATTTAGTGAAACTAACAGCGTTCGGTGTCAGCTAAGTGTTATTTTTAACACGTCAAATATTGATGAAGGAACGATAAGGAAGAGGCTTGGGAATAAACTTGGAGACCTGGAAATAGCGAATGTGGAAGTTGTGGACAAGTTCACAACTACCACACCTACAGAGAAGGCAACCACCAAGAAGCCCATAGAAGGAGGCAATGTTTTCCAAGTCAAAATGAAAATATCCAACCAGGACTACACTGATGAACTTAGCAATTCTTCTAGCGAGGAATTCAAGACACTGTCTAAGGACCTAACCGACATCCTTACAAAAGTTTTCAAAGACAAAATTAGAGGTTTTAGTCACGTAGTAATTATTGAATTCCGAAAGGGAAGTGTTATATGTATTTTTCAAGTTATCGTTGCGAAAGAATCTGAAGTAACAACTGAGAACATAGAAGAAACATTATTAGACGCAAGAGGCACAGGGAAGTACACTTTCACGGATATTACAGTGAAAGAAATGACGATGAAACAGACTGGACAGAGACTAAAATGGCCAGATTGGGCGATTATTGTGACCAGCCTTTGCGGAGTGATGCTGTTATTCATCATCGTCACTATTTTCCTGGTACGATAGCTAGCTAACTCAGTAGTAACCTGTGTAGGTTGAAGGGTAAATCGCATTGAGCTGCATAGACACAAGGAATTCGCAAAGTAAATACCTTTTCCCGTCAGTTTTCTACTGTGCATTCGAAATGGAAGAAAGGTGTCAAGTGGGTGAAGAATCTGTAGATATCTTAGGGAGTTTTACCGTCGTCGTATTCGTTTTCCAAAAACTTATCGTAACTGCACGATCACTTTGTTGTTTTCTACCATTAAGCATTCCATTAGTACCCTTGGGAAGAGAGACTTCCACATGAAACAACGCTCACTTAGAAGTGTACATTGCAGACTTTGGTATCACTTAAGGTGTTCAGAACGGAGAGGGAATTATTTACTCATAGAGTGATCACTAAGAGGTGTGCGTGAGGAGATTAAGAAAAAAAGCCAGTAAATGACAAAGTCTTATCGCAATTAAAACCACTCTAGCTGTACCTGTTTGTTTTGGAACTATCTCTTTAGGGGTCAACTCAGGTTTGTACCACACCAAGATTTATCTCGTTCAGGGCTGATTCAGATGAGTCTCTCACCCCCACCAAGATACTAAAACTCGTGGTAATTATTTCTTGTACTTTATACAAATGCCTTACTAAAAATATAATGTCCCTTTTTTTCTCAGATTTGTAGGAGAAACAAGTATCAAAATGTACAGCTAAACGCATACATTAATGGAGGAGCAGACGAGATTGCTTTACAGGAAGTTCGTGAGAGAAAAACTACAATCTATCAACGAGCAAATGAGGCGTCAGATAGATACCAATTACCTCAGCGAACTGAGAAAACCTAGATGATCAAGGTTAGCTTGAACAGGTTCTTACCGATATTTGGTGCCTGCTGAAAACGTTAAAGGAAGGTTCTACTAAGGGAATGAATATTAACACAGGTTGCGATTGGGGTGTTTTAAAACTGTTTAGCCAACCAGTTTTTTCAATGTTCATCTCTGTTGCTTAAAAATCTCAATGTAACGCTTAAAACATATTCATTTTTATGATATAGACACGAGTGTTTTACTGGAAAATATACCACTCGTAAAATTCATAAAAACTACATCCGGGACCCGAGTGGTTTATTTTCCATCTGAAACGTGAGTTTATCGATGACGTAATTTCGGTCATTTCCCTCCATCATTTTATCAATGTCTTTTTGTCTATATAATAAAAAGAACATTACACGGCGGCTTGAAGATATGAATTTTATTTTGTCGTGGCAAAAACAATATTTTACTCACTCGCTGCGCTCGTTCCTAAAATATTGTTTTGCCGCTCGAAAATAAAATTCATTTCTTCGCGCCACCGTGTAATATATCTGCTAGGAGTTTGGCATAGACAAGCACAGTCGAAGCTCTCCACAACGGCCACCTTGGGGACAGAAGAAAGTGGGCGTTGTGGAGAAGTGGCCGTTATGGCGAGGTAGGGATGTAATACGACAAATTTTTCTTTGGGAAGTACAACATGTTTATTGTGCTAAGTTCATGCTTGCTATATCCCATAATGGTAATCCAATCATATATAACATTTAGAGATAAAATTTACACAGAAAAAACATGAACAATGTTTTGAGTCAAAATGTTAACGTGACAAAAAAGGGTTCTCAACATTCGCTATAAGCACCATAGACAATTAATGCTCACTGCTGCAGTATAAATGGAACACAATCAAAAATACGATCGATTGCATGCCGCGATTAATAATCAACGAACCGTGGGGGTCAAATTTCATGACCATTCTTGACTTTTTCATCAGTCGGTGATGAAAAGACAGGCCGTTGTCGAGATGTCATTAGGCTGACTTAGCAACAGGACGGGAACGTCATTTGACGACGGCAAAGCGCGCGAAAAGGACTAAACTCTACTTCCGGTGCTCAGTTTGCCGCTCAGCCATTGGTCAAGCCTGTTGTTTGATTTGCGCGCGCCGTCGCCAACTGACGTTCCCGTTCTGTTGCTAAATCAGCCTACTAGGCAGTTGGGGACGCGCTTTAGCGACCGTTGTCGTTGTAGAGAGGTTTAAATAAGAGCTAATGTATGGACTGTCTGCCGGGACAAAAAAGTGGCCGTTAGTGGAAGTCTGACTGTAACTGCTACGCTGACGCGAAGTTGCATAGCGAGTACCGGAGAGTACTAGAAAACCTACGCAAAACGGGCAAGACTCTATTTACGTTAAAGGAGTCTGACAGTCGTTCTTTTTATCCTTTGAACTTAGATGGTGAGAGGAGATTTAAGAGTAATATGTGTACCAAGACGGCAAGTAAAGGCAAATTCAACACTTTCAAACGGAAAAATGACAAGAAAGGAGCCGCACACTTTAATAGGGAGGATGAAAAGTAGCTTATTTATGATGATAAATGAGAAAACCAGGTTTATGGGGAAGATAAAACATTGAGATAACATTAGGCAACAGATTAAGTAATGACAACGCAACGCTAACTGAGAACGGAAGAAACTGAACACAACTTCTGGTGTTCAATTTCCCGCTCTGCCATTGATCAATTCGGTTCTTAGAATTGCTGAAGCTGAAGTAACGTTGTTGTTGCTAAATCTGCGTATCAACCCTTCAAGCTCCAGTATCTCCACACAAATTCTTCCGACTGAATTCCATACATTTCCTTAAGAATTAGCTGAGAGAATTTGTTTACAGATTAAAGTATTTGACAGTTGGCATGAAGCATTTGCAGCTCAAATGCATAATAAAAACAGAGCGTTAGCAAACTGCACAGCAGGACTGAAGAAAACTGCATGCATAAAATCCAGGAGAAAGTTGGATGCACTTGTAGCAGAGCTGCATTATACAGAGTAGGCACTATTTGCGCTGGACTGCGAAACACCTATTCAAATTTAGTGGCATATGGGGGAGACTGCATAATACCGTAAAAACCCGCGAGTAAGAACCTACATTTTCTGGAGTTAGCCTAAACAGGTTCTTATTTAAAAGGTAGTTAACACAATTTTAGGCTATTTAGGTTCTTAAATAGGTTCTTATTCCTGCAAAAAAAAAATACAAAAAAAAAACAAGCTACAAAACAAGATGGTAACCAGCTTATTTGTCAATTTCAAAATGCGATACAACAATATTAACCTTTTGCACTTTATTATTTTTTTTATTACATCAATAAATTAGCACTTTTATTTGCACGGCAATGCCAAGCTCCTAATTTTCCAGACAGTATTCTTGCACAGCTTTGCAGCTGCATTTCACTAATATGATTTTCAAAAATAACAACCTGTTGTTCATTTTCTAGGCTAAACAGGTTCTTGTTTATAGGGGATATAAATGGCAAATTTTAGGCTAACAGGTTCTTAATTTTTAGGTTCTTACTTGCGGGTTTTTACTGTACCGTAAAGAGTGTTGACAGTATTAGCAGCAGGGCTGCATAATGTATTAGTCGAGTTGGTAGTATTTGCAGCTGGGCTGCATATTAATGGAAAAGTCGAGTTGGTACCATTTGTAGTAGGATTCTGAGAAAGAGGACACCAATGTCTGGCTGGATTGCCCGGTTATAGTGTTCGTGACAGCTAAGGCGGGCGTTTAAGGCGCGGTTGCTATTATGTAGTACATAATACCCTGAGAAAAGTAAGGTTGGCGGAATTTGGGGCTAACTTCTTGAACAAGGCATCATTATTTCAACAATGTATAACACTCAGTTATCCTGATATGCTGATAGAGTTAGATGCATTCGCTAAAGACTGTATTTAAGTAGTTACAACGAAGTTTAATTATATCAGTACCCTTTTAGAAAAGAGAAAAGCTTAAAACACTAGGTATTTCAATAGCATATAGAATAAGTTTATATTTGGTTTGTTTGTTTTTGTCATCTTGTCGAAATCTAATAAATATTTTATGGATCCTAAGAACTCCTTTAAAGTATTTAATATCCCTTTATTAGAAAAAGGGAATTTTGTATTGTACTTAATGAATTGCTAAGAGTTCACAAAAACAGATTCTCTTTTCGGTGTTTAAATAAAAAAGTACATATTTTATATTAACGTATAAATGTAAGTACATTTCAAAGAATACCTTGCTACATTGTTAAGTACTACTTTACTTTAGCTGATAAAGTCAATAAATATATTTTATAAATAAACTACCTATATAATAGTTACTACAACGTATTTGCTGAGTATTTCTTCTTTGTAGACTCCATCAGGCCCATTCAAGCAATAAATTATTTGGATGTGCCACATAATTTTAGAGTGATTCTCCATTAGCAATTTCAAAGCAGATAAAATCCATATCTATTTATTACACTAGTCCTCTATTATTTCTTCGAAACTCTTCAAAAACTCATAAATAATCCGTAAAGAAACATACGAAATTAATATTTAACGAGTGTCTTTATATCTGATAAAGACACGGCTAAACTTTACGTCCAATTTTTAAGACCAAAATAACCCCAAATCTAAATATTTTAGTGCAGGAACGAGTTCATCTATATCAGAGATTTTGAAGCCGTTCAAAAAACGAGCAGGAGTGTACTATCAGGTTTGAAAACTCGAGGCGAAACCGAAAGTATTTAAACCTGATAATACACCCCGGGAGGGACTCCCATATAAAAGTGGCGGGGATGCTCGTCCGAAAATTCAAATTAAACCAATAAGGGAGACCAATGTGGGTGTGGCCCAAGCTTAAGCTGACCCCTGAGGAGTCAGCAAGGGTGGGGAGCAAGGGTGGCGCAGTGTTGAGAGCACTCGCCTCCCACCAATGTGGCCCGGGTTCAACTCCCGGCGTTGACGCCATATGTGGGTTGAGTTTGTTGTTGGTTCTCCCCCTTGCTCCGAGAGGTTTTTCTCCGGGTACTTCGGCTTTCCCCTCTCCTCAAAAACCAACACTTCCAAATTCCAATTCGATCTAAAACGCACGGACACGTTTAAACGAGTTTATATGAACTCCTAAGTGCTTCGTGGGTAAAAAAGCAATTTTTTTAGGGAGATTTCTGTGTGGTCAGTGTCAGGGCATTTTTAAATTACTTTATGCACAGTTCTAAGCGATACCTGAATGGTCAAATATAGTAACTTTCCATTGCAAACAGCCTACGTGAGACCAAAATCTGCAATGTACACCCTTAAGCGAGACGACGAGCATCCCTGTCACTTTTACATGAGAGTCCCCCCCCCCCCCGGGTAATACACTCCTGCTTGTTTTTTAAACAGTATATAAATATCAACGAATAAGGCGAGGGAGATATGTGCACGGGAGATGTCTCCCTTCTTTGTGGAGTTTATTCTCTCCGACAACTCTCCACCCAGCCATACTAGATTACTGGAGAGGAGACTGTTAAACCATCCAAGACCCCTACAAAGTGTACTTTTATTCACGCTAAAATATAAACAGGCAAGGCGACAGAGATGCGCGCGGCAGATGTCGTCCCCTTCGTTGCATTATGATACTCTCCCGTAACCCTCCACCCAGTCATAATAGATGACTGGGGAGGAGTCTGATGTCCAACAAACACTCTTTCCTACTCGTCCCAAACACTCTTTCCTACTCGTCCCTAAGGACGACTGAGAATCCTGGGACTTTCTTTACATAATAACATTAAATTGGCAATGCACTCAATTTTTGATGTAGAACTTGGCAACGGTTGACTTGTTGAAGAACGCTTATTTGACAGCGGCGCTTATTTGAAACGTTCTATTTGCGGAAAAAGGTAGCAGGTATTACTTTCTCTAAACTGTCGTTATTTACAGAGGGCAAAAATAGCTTACATAGAACAAAAGATGTGCCCCCTTCCTCGTTAAAAACAACAGCAGCATTAAAAACCTGCATCAACAATATTTCAAAAACTCATAAAAAATCAATGAACGTTGCAGTGGTGCAGGAGATGTGATGCTCAAATGTTTTTGCTCCGAAATGTGGTGCTTATTCTAGGCAAGAACTCTTAAAAGTTAATACAATGTAATCATTGTTTGGAGAACTGATAGCCTAGTAACTCCAACAGTGAACATCATTATCTACTTAGATTCTACCTGTGTATTAAGGTGAGATATAACCCCATGTACATCCTAGTTTAAAGAGCTTTCTTGGCTGAATTAGACATTGCACTTTTAGATCTGCCTGACTTGGGCCTTGGTGCTGGACTGCAAATAAAACGAAAACAGTCGAATGAAAGAAATGAAAACAAGAGACTGACTGACTGTTGTGGCAAGTATTGTGCAATTGATTAGTTGATTCATTCACTCATTCATCCCACAAGATTGCCTGTTCACAGGTTACTCATCTTACAGTTAAGCGCAATAATATTTCTAAGGCTGCAATTGAGGAGTTATTCACAAAATAAATACAGAATGTTAATAGTGCAGAAAAGGGTCTTAAATTTATTATTACTATCATGTTTTTGTTTTTTCAGTCCAATAAATCAATTGCAGCACGCAAAGAAAGTACTGTCCGATATCCTGGGGCTAGTGGATTTTGCTATCAGGAAAGTGAATTCTGCTCTTATCTTGCCCGATCAGCAAGTGAAGTTTTTTGGGTTATTGAACTTACAGAAGATCAATCCTGTTCATCAAAATGACTTCTGGGCTAGTACTTTCCAACTACAGCCTCCCTGCATGGCAAGCTGTAAAAACTGACTTTCTTTGCACTCTGCAATTGGCATTTTTTCAAAGCTGGGCTACTTTCATCGAAGTGAGGCCTTAACTAGATCAGCAAATAAGAGGACCAGCAACTAAAAAAGTGTGCAGCCTTGTAAGGAGGGACAGCAGATTCTATTTTCCTTATGCACCTATCAATGTTATGACGGCGAGGGGGGGGGGGGGGGGGGGGGGGGGGACAGGGCATGGGGTGGGGATTTGATTGTCTTTGTTGGCCCTGGGGTAGTGCATTTGACTTATCTTCTTCTCCCAGGGGAGGGATATTTGAATCTTTCTTCGCCCGGCATGGAGATATTTGACTGCCGACTCGGACGAAAAAGACTGAGACCAAACACACTTCCATGCTTCACGCATGTGCCGTATGGTGTGGAAAGATCTGGAGATCATGAAGGCCAACGAGAACAAGCGAAAGCTGGGTGGATTTCACTGTTTTGTCTTCAAATTTAATTTGTTTTAGCGTGTTTTTGATCAACTGAACCTCTTAAGATACTGTGGTATCAAAGTAAACGGAGGTAAAGAGCAACCGAGTCGATTTTTGCTAGTACAATTGATCAGTATATGGCTCATTCGCTACAATCAGTGTAAGCTTATAAAATAACTTTCTTTGTACCCTTTACTAAGAACGGTATATTTAAACTTACAAAATGTGGACTTTCTCCTAAAGGTTTCTGTATTCTACGCAGTGTAACGCGGATTATGGTTAAAATGTATAATTGCATCTGTAACAGGAACATGTATCTTTGGTGATGCAGCAACGTTATATAAATAAAGATTTCAGAGTTTTATTAGATATTTTTATTGCGCCTTTCTTGGGTCCAGCCTTGCGATATTTGACAGCGCAATGAGCAGCCCAGGGTGGGAAATTTGGTTGCATTTGACTGGAATGATTTTCCCGTGGGCAAGGAATTTGACAGCAAATTTTTGCAAAATGTCAAATCCCCACCCCATGCCCTGAAAAGGAATGCCATCTGTAAAGAAATGCCAAGCAGAGTAGCTGGCCGTTACTAACCAAGTAAGCGGCAACTTTCACCGGCAGCTGGCTACTCTTGACAACCCTGCACTATCCAACGTTTGAACAACTGTGGACAGATCCTTCAGTTTTATTGAAATAAAATTTACTACAAACCTGCTAAGCTCTTGATCAGTCTCCTCCATGATGGCAGATTTGTCAGGCAAGGTTGCTGTTATCAGAGAAGAAGTCAGACAAAATTGATTTATTATATAATGTTAAAGAAAGGCATCCAATGGGACCAATAAGCAACCTCAAAATGTGTCAGTCAAACTAAAGTGTATCAACTCTACCTATGCTCTCGTTGACTCCAGCATGTTTGGCAAGGCCAATGAGGAATCCATAAAAAGTCACTCTCTCCACCGACAATAAGAGATCTTTGATTACATCAACAGGAGGGCAGCTGCAAATAGGAAGGTAAAGCTTTTAATGGCTGGTACCCTCGTCTTTTAATGAAAAATTCTCCAAAAGGTGGAATTCTCACAGCTATACAATTCATGTTTTGACAGCTTTCAAATTGCATTGCCCTACCATGTCATTTTCAGTTTCACTTTTTATCTTCGATGTCCTTTACATAATGACTGACATAGACCAACATCACATTTTGGATGATACAAGTTTTTACTCCCTGCCAAAAGTTCTGACATAAATAATAATCATAATAAATCACTGTTGTCACAAGGTACATGTAGAAGCTGTGTTTTAAGATGAGTCAGCCACTGGACTCTCACTTGTGTCTGTGCCATGGAGACATCTAGCATTAAAACCCTAATCACCATCTTCAGAGTCATTCAGCTTTAATCAGCCATTCGGAATTTGGCAAACTGCCCCTGCCGGCACAGTGGAGACAATCTACATGTAGGTCGTACTTTTGCATCTGTGGACCAAATCCTACAGTGCAATCAATTTACATGTGTAACATACCCTTCTTGAGAGCACGTTTGTACGGTAACATTTTTGTTTGTCAGTATTACTTACTACAAAATGAAAAATTTGGAATTTTTTCTTTAGTTTTCACTTTGGGTCTTCCTGTGAGTAAACAGGTTAAAAGAAGAAAAGTAAAGTATGTACCTGAAAGAACCATTACTGGTAATGATTTGTAGTGCAGTCTCCAGGATGGAAGCAAATTTGCATGGTACCATTTTTGTTTCTCAGTATTTGACAAAATGAAATTTTGACTTTTATCTACTGATTTCACTTTGGCTCATTCTGTTATTACAAGTTTAAAACACGAAAAGTAAAGTATGTACCTGAAAGTACCATTACTGGTATGAATGATTTGTAGTGCAGCCTCCAAGAAGGAATGGACGTCTACACCATCCCCAGAATTAACCTGGGATGTTTCATGCCCAGCATTTTGAGACTGTTGTGACTTATGTTGCACTGGCGTGGACAGTGTTGGTACTGCTACCACAATCTGACCTGGTCTGTAGGTACCTGATAACAATGCTTGGTAGGCTCCATGCAGCTTCTCTATAAACTCTATGAGAATGATGATGGAATCCATGCAAATAAGTTGCACTTAAATGGTCAATGCACAGAGTATTTAGGTAGTAGTTAAGTGCGTGTCAGTGACATGTCAATCATAACCTCGCACTATGACTGATAATATTACTATATCCTGTCCTAGCTACATTTGTATTTCCATGAAATGGAATGGGGAAGAACTTTTACATCAGGCAAAAAAAATCACTCTACACTAACTGCTTAAAGAAAGGTTATGCCGGCCTAGATAGTTTTCATATTTCATTACTTTTTACTTTAACTTTTTCTTTCTTTCTAATTTATTTATTCATTCTTTGTTTTGTATGTATCCAGTATCACCAGCTTAACCTAACTTGATTAAGCATACCTGAATTCTTTTCTTGTCTTCAGGGGGTTCATTAAGGGCCGGGCACCGGGCAAATTGACCGGCTGTGAACACGACTTTGCCCGGCTGCTTTACATCTCAAAGAACTTCTTTTTAATACAAGGAACGATCAAAAACAGTTTTAAGTTACAATACTGCCCTTTTCTTGGTGAGTCTTATCGAGTGTAAAACATACTTTGCCGTGCAATTTCCACTTTATTACATGCGGCATGAAATCCCCTCGTTCGTTATGTGTTAAAAACAAGAAACGCCCCATAACACATTGTGAAAAGAACTGCGCTTCATAAGCGACCACCTGAAATGACTATCAGTGTTGCGAGCACGCGAGCATGGCCGCCCAGAAAAGAACGCGTTATATAGTGAATTTTTCGGCTTCAATCAAAGGGCCTCCAGTAGAGAAAAGGCCAAGAGGTGAGTAGACTTCTTTGTGATTTAACCTTTTACTTGCCTGTATATATTGAATGGCTTAATCATCATGTTCAACGAAGCGAAGCGTGATTTTTGGTTCGTCTTATGGTTTACGCCAATGAATTAATTTTCGGTGCGTTCACGTTAAAACAGTGCTCCTCCCGTCTAGTCATTGAAATTTTAAAGATAAGTAAATGTTGTTAAACTAATACTTTTGTGATTCACCTTCTAGCGAAAACTCTTCGTCTCTCCAAATGTTTCTCTGCCGCACTTCATCTAATCACTTAGTCATGATTAAATTGTCTGGAAAAGCTATCTTTTTTTGGTTGTTGAAAGTCATAGTCTGCAGCTTCAAAATGCAGGAAAACACATCCCTGCGACTATAGAATTTCAAAATTTTCCGGGGGAGCATGCCCCCGGATCCCCCCCAGGGGAGGGTCTTGCCAATTCTTCGCCTGGGTGTCAAACTCAGTTGCCCTCCTGTTCAAAACCTTAATGAACCCCCTGTGTCTTACTTTAGAAATCGCTTTAATTACGTAAATTTTATAAGTCATTATACTTCAGTTTAGAGGGCATCAATTGTTGTTGTTATTGTTGTTCATAAATTACATGCATTTTAGTATTAAATAGTCAATACAAAATTATACCTTATCAGGCTTTTATTCAGAATTCAGTTGTCTTAAACCTGTTCTCCTGGATGCTAACTGAGGGTTTAAAGTTGGTTTGCTGTGCAACATAGTTTTCCTAATCTTTGCATTTCCCCTAGCCTGAATTTCATCCGATTGCTTCGAGTCGTTATTACTCCCTCAGTAACGTCTGAATTGACTGACCGTTAATGCCGTCCAGTGACATCACTACTCCTTGACCTTTGCCTTAATTCAGGCAAAAAGTAAAACACGATTTTCAAGTGGCAAACCGAGAAATATCGTTTGGAAATGTCTGCATGATACAGAATTGCTTCATTTTTTTCGATCGTAATTCATGTTTAACGTTCAAACTATCAACTGCATGCAGTACAACTCTGAACCGGTTGTACTGAATTCTATGATCAAACTCGGTCGCAATCATGCAATGAAATGAAATAAACACACACACAGAACACTTAGTTCAAAAACACAATGATTTGCTTTAATTGAAAAGAAGCTATTTGGTCCTTAACGAAGAAAAAAACAAGGAGACAAGAAAGAAAAGCTAACAGAATCAGTACACTTGACGCTAAAAAGGCAAGAAGGTCGAATTATAATATTGATTTCAGAAAACTTCGCGTAAACAAAATCACTGGGCGCCGAAACCACAAAGCGGCTCCAAATGAAAAACCTACCGACTCTCCGCAATGGTTCTTCATTTGCAGTTCAACTTAGCATTTCAGTTTCGAAGACGAGCAATCTTGCTGTTTAAGATAAAGATTAAGCTTATCAAAATGTTTGAACAACACAAAAGAATGCCAGGGATGCGATCCGCTCAATATCAAGTGACAATCCCGCTAAAATTTTTCATAATTATACATAATTATGAGAATGTTTAGACAATCAACCAATCAAAATCACTACCCTGTTTTCGCGTAGTGAGTGACGTCACTGGATGGCATTAACAACCGGTCGATTCAGATGTTGTTGAGAGGAGAAAACGACTCAAAGCAATCGGATGAATTTCAGGCTACGTTTCCCCTCGTTTATTTGATTTTCACATTGCTGGTACTTATCATAGTTTCATAAGGTCCCTACTTATTCTGTTAAACGTAGAAAGCTTAGACCTACAATTGGCGACCAAATTAGTTGAGACACTTTGCCATTAAGGGCCTTTCTGATGTTTTACCAACTTCAAAAGGGGAAAATGAAGATTTCCTCTCCCCCCCATCCCATCCATGTAATGTTGTGCCGCCGTTCAAGCTACCAGCAGAAAACAGACACCCAACTTTGAATTGAGGGGAGGGGGAAGGGGTTTTGTTTGTTTTGTTCTCTCAAGTTACCCTGTTTGTCTCAACAATTTTTTTGCTGATTGTAACCTTTAGTTGCAAACACCAATAGAGTTTAAAAGATTTTCAGTTCATATAAAATGCATTTGCCTCACCGTCATAAAAGAACTGTGTCTGGAAAGCATAAAGGAAATCTGGAAAAGACATTAGACAATCCATAGCATCCTCCATCAAAATAATCCTGTGGGTTTATAAAAAACACCATTAACTTAAAGGAGCTGTGTCACAGCAGTCCACGTCGTTTTGTTTAATTTTGCCAATTACTCGGCCTCAATTGCTATGGAACTTAAAGTAAGCAAAGAAAGTACATGTAAGTGACAAAGTCAGAGATTCGAGACAAACAAATATGTCTCCTGAGCATATTTATTTTTTGAAGTTGCAAACAGCAGAGATACATTGTAAACTTTGAAAAACTGTTAGGCTGAACAGTTTTCAAAAACCCTAACTTCAATCTGTTTCAATCTTCTTCAGTTCTGCCCATCCGTGGCATCTGTTGTATCTGTTGTGTTACTTTAACCTTCCTTTAATGTTTTAAGCGGTTATTTTCATGTTTCTCTTGGATTTAACAGGCATTCTGTAATACCTAATTTGGCTGAATTTCGTGACACAGCTCCTTTAAGCGAAAGACTTAACAAATTATTGCTTTATCAGAATGAAATAAACCATCTTTGGTTGATGGGGGGAAGGAATAAAACCTTATAACAGTGACATATGTATAGAGGGGATAACTTCTAACAAGGAGAACGTACCTGGCAGTTTTTTGCACAGGTTCAAAGGGAAAGTCAGGGCAAAGAAGACAAATAAGTGAATGGTATTCTTTTGCAGATAGTAAATCTGAAGAACAAAAAGAAATTAACCAGTGGTGTTAAGTGTCAACTAACTATACCTAAATGTACACGCGTTAACAAAAAAAAATAAAAAAACATACAAATAATACACAGTTAATGCTGGATTACCAGCTGCTGTTCAAATTAAAGTGAGCTTACACTAATCCCTTTGTTTCTCTCTCTGGAAAGAAAAAAGACCGCAGCTCAGGGAGTGGCAAAATTAAGCCTGAGAACAACAAGACAACAAGTTATTTTTATGGGTGTGAAGACCCTTACTTGTAAGTTACAAGTACTGTACCTCCATTCATCCCTATGTGTCTAAAACATTTCCAAAACACGCGGATGAAAGACGCTGTGTTGTGAGGTGTCTTTCGAATGTAGCTGTATTCCCTGAACAGAGTGTGGTTTCCTTGCACAACACTCCTAAAGCTGCAAGAAAAAAATAATGTGATCTCATCCTTCCAAGGGCTTTTTAAACCAAGTCAACAGAAAGCACTAAATTGAATACTTTAGATAAATCTATAGGTCTGGTAAATATATTCAGGAGGGTTATTCCCTCTAACCCTCCCCCTGGATTGACCACTAGCTATGTTTTCAGCTCATAAACATGAACTGCATATAGAGAGGAACTCTGTTAACACCTAAGCCCAATATCCCGTACATATTAACCAGAGTAGCCTCCAAACATTATGGAAGTAAGAGAATGTGAAAACAGATTTCACATTTTCCTTTTACGTTTTAGGTGATCATTTTATTAATTCTTGTAACCTTTTCTATTGCATTAGCAGAGTTAAGTGGGTTTCATAACCACTTTCTTTTCTCATCTAAGATGCCACATTGGTGAATTTAGCAACAACACCATGACATAAAACCAATTATCATTATTCCTCAAGGTTTATTAGCATTAGAATCTGTAACTTGAGTGCCTTTAGAATGCAAATTTATGTTGGAGCACAGTATATTAACAAGGTGAATTTATAGACTAGGAGTACATTCAATGATTCATGTAATTTGGAATTTCAGAATGTGGCCATTGAGTGAATAACAAGGTGGCTGTATCAAAGGCATTATCAAGGTTAACCATTAAATTTTTGTCTACCTGGGACTTAAAAGTCCCATGTGTGAGCAACATCAGTGGTCAACTAATGATATCACTATATAATCAAGAGAAAAGGTTACAAGTATTAATAAAATGATCATCAAACGGAAAAATGCTTTTATTATGTCTGCTGTCTTGTGTTTTGTATCTGCTGTCTGGTTTCTGGTGTCTTCTGTCTTTCATGTTGTTTTCTGCTCTATATGCTGTCTGGTGTTTTCTGTCTTCTTCTCTACTGTCTGGTTTCTGGTGTCTTCTGTCTTTCATGTTGTTATCTACTCTATATGCTGTCTGGTGTTTTCCGTCTTCTTCTCTACTGTCTGGTTTCTTGTGTCTTCTGTCTTTCATGTTGTCTTCTGCTCTATATGCTGTCTGATTTTTTCTGTCTTCTGCTCTACTGTCTGGTACCTGGTGTCTTCTGTCTATCAATTTTTGTCTTCTGCTCTACTGTCTGCTGTCTGGTGTTTTCTATCTTCTATGTTCTGTCTTCTGCTTTGAAGTTTGGAATCCCGTTTCTGGTGTCTTCTGTCTATCATGTTCTGTCTTTTGCTCTGGTGTCTTCTGTCTGATGTCTGGTGTTTTTAATCTTCCATCTTCTGTCTTCTGTGTGGTGTCAGCAGTGACTGTCTTCTCTCTCTTGTCTGTAAGTCTCACTTTTTTCTGATGTCTAATGTCCACTGTCTTCTTTTTTTGTATTTTTCATTGGGACAACTTTTGGACTAACAAAACAGGCTGACCCAAAAACGAAGCTCCAGCTTGCACACTCACACAACAGCCAACCCAAACACTTTCAACCTTACCCAATGGTTACAAATTTTAATTTACTACATGCTAAGCTAAAGTAAAGCTTCGGTGATACTTTTGTCCTTTTATCTTCTGTCCTAGAGGACAGCTTTCTAAATTTATGCTCCTTACCCCTGCAAACATAATGAACAACTCCCCAGATTAATAATCATTGCAGCCACTAATCTGCACAACAAGGAAGGAGCAGTGAAAATACAGTACAAGTGTAAACACCTGCTAATAAGAACCTACTTTTTTTGAGGTCTGACAAAAAAGGTTCTTTTATTTTGGGGTACTTATTGGCAATTTAGGCCAAGTAGGTTCATAATTAGGACCTTAATTCTTATGACAGAGATAATAGATTGTTGATTATCAGAAAAGTAAGTAAACTTTTTCGTTATTCACAATTTTGTTATAATGATTATAAGTGATTACTGAATTTATGTCCAGTTAAGTACAGTATACTCTTGTGATACTTAAATTTACAACTTAAGGTTGCACTCCTTGGTCAAATATTATTGTTTATCATAATAACCCACATATAACAACCTGCTTGATCTTGCTTGGCTAAACAGGGCCTTGTATTTTTAGGTATTTAAGTGGTAAATTTCTGCAGATGATTTTTAATCCACAGGTTCTCATTAGCGGGTGTTTACTGTACTTTACCTATTAAAGAGCACAGAAAAAGATAAAAAATATTAACGTACTAGTCACTGAGAAAGCGAGCTGGAATGACCCTTGGATTCTCTTCTTTATGTTCCAATAGCTGGGCAACTGCATCCTGCATATGTTTTGAAAACTCAAGTCAACTATTATTATCATAATTACTCATTTGAAATATTTCTCCATTTGATCTGACTGTCTTAAATCCCCTGGCGACTTCTTCATGACCAGCTTGTATAAGATGTGAAATCAATGACTGATCGATGGATAATCATTAGATAATCATCGAAAGCATCAATTATTCATTGATGACATCAATGAGTAATCGATGTCAGGGATGAGTAATCAATAGGCCACAAAATTTTTGGCCATTGATTAGTTATTGATTACCCACTGATAATAGCAAATAATCAATGACTAATCAGTTGATTACCCAATGATAACTCATCGATTACTCATTGAAGTCATTCATCACCGAATAGTTACGTCTCGAAAAGAGTACAATTTTTGGGGCCGTTTTGAAGAAAAAATCCGACCACCCCTCTTCAAAAACCCGCTATATATATCGTTAGAGGGTGGGCGGATCAAAAGAAATGGCATGTCCCTATTGAGCTGTACTGTATATCAATTAATTAAAAACATGGAAACACATTTTACCTGAAGGTATGTCAGCACATGGTACTTTGCTGAAAAAAAAACGACATTTCATGAGCTCATCGCTGCCTCGTGCATTACTGCTAAAATTCTAACTGCCCGGAACCAACTTTTAAAACTTCAAAGGAACTCAAAGCTTGTACATTCTGCTTCACAAGCTTATGTCTTTTACTTACCTAAATATTGCTCAGCTGTCAGAGCAAACCTATCGCTTCCTCCAGTCATTTTAAAGCACCTTTTAAATCCAGTTTGCGGAAAAAATACTTCAAAAGTATACTTCGTTCGTTACAACATCAGCTAACATCACAAGAAGCGGTCGTCCTTTCCTGTCACACACTCTCATTCTCAGAGGCCACGATCCTTTTGGTCAGCGACGGAAAAATGCGCATGACAAATGAAACCCTCCTTGGCCGAGGTTGGCGGGAAAAAAGATGGCGGAGTTGACGGATGACCCAGTAAACTTTGAGGAGGAAGAGTTTTACAAGAAATTATTGTTAGAGGAAACTAGAACGCCACAAAATTTGAATCCTGATAGATATGAATTTGTTCCTAAACCTGGGTATGTTATGAAACTGCGGAACAGTCAAAATGAGAAGGTTTTTATCAATATTTGTACCTCGGACAAAGTCCCTGTTCCAAAAGATGTCAGTGACCAGGAGCTGGCTGAAATATTGCAGTCTGTGGATCCTACACAGTACCGTGTGCCCATGAGCCTTGGAGAACCTCATGCAGAAGTGGACAATAAAGGCCAAGGTTTGGTAGGCTATATTCATTAATTTATTTGTGATGTATTTTATGGTTTGCAACCACGTGACAAGGCGGCCAGTTGGTTTACAAAACAATTAAAATTTTTTCCCAGAATTTGCATTAAAAAAGAGTTAGTTCCAAGAGGAGAGAAACTCATCTGTTCTTGTCGACCAACATGGCCGCCGTGACGTCAGTTGCAAACCAGGGGTCAATTTAATAAAACTTTTACATGTGTAATTTACAAGTGTAGCCATTGTTTTAGAGTCTGAGAACAATAGCTACACTTATAAATTACAAGTGTAAAAGTTTTATTAAGTTGACCTCAGCAGTAAGATTAATAATTAGGTTGAGCATGATCGTCCAGCTTAATGTAGTCCTGAATAGGACTACCGCACAGGTTCACTTCACTGTGAACGAGGGAGGCTGATGCTGACCTCTACAAGCAAAAACCTTTGAATGCAGAGGTCCACTCAACGTGTTAATAAAACCTTCTGGTTCCTTATTGCTGGATCTCTAACACAAATGTTTTTTTAGGCCAGTCTTATATAACTCTCCACCCCTCCCCCACCTGGAATCTCCATTTTCCTTTTTTATGACCTTATTTCACAGCACTAAAAAATCATCGACTATTTACTGCTTAAAAATCACAGTTCACATCTTTAGACTCAACATTTTATTACCAATGATAAATTTTCTTTGTTTTAAACTCCAATGTTTTGCATGTTATTTTTTGGTTTGAAAATAGAACATTGGTGAAACTTGATCCTTGTGAATTATGCATTACCTATCATGGGACTGAAAATCTGCTCTAACATTTCCAGGCATTACAAACAGTATGATTTCTAGGTCTTCAACAAGCCAAAAGTTTGGTGATAAGAACAAATTAATATAGTCAACAGACATTTAGAAGTAAAATAAGAAATTTTAAATGTGACCAGGCATGAAAAGTTAGTAGCTAGGGAATAAAATTAAGTTGGACTAGCAACCCCGTGGGTTGCAAGTTTAAGGCCTAAGGGCTGACAGTCAGGACCTAGTCCCAGTTGTTCAAACGTTGGACAGCATTATCCACCGGTTAAATCACTATCCAGCAGGTAAGTATTAGGGAAACCAATTGCATTATCCACTGAATAGAGATTTATCCACTGGATAGGGTTATCCATCTTTTCAACAACTGGGACTAGAAGCTGGGGATTTCCTGTGGCTGCTATGAGCATGATCCCCCTCGAACGGAAAGTAGAAACAAAAAACTCCCTACACATAGCTGTTCAATTCCCTCGCTTACTAAGTGTATATAACAGGCAACTTGAAATCTTAGTGACAGCCCAGCCCAACCTTGTTGTTACAATAGCAGACATAAGAGAGCAAAGCCATTTCAATTCAAGCACATGTTTTATTCTACATCTGATAATCCTAGCTTAAATTACATAGGTGATAATCAACACATGACTTGCATGAGGTGTCTGTCAATAGTAATTACATAATTGACACACTTCTCACTTGCATGATTGTCTAATTTTTCTGACCCTCAATGGGGCATTGAAGTTTAACTTATTTGTCAAGAATCAACTAAATTTTGTAGGTACAGTTCATGTCTCATTTTAGTCATTGCAAAAAACTGTTTATGTTTCCCTTTAGGTTGTACTGCATATGATGTGGTCATCAATCCAGCATTTTACAGCAAGTTACAAAACAGTGAACTATTTAATAGCTTTTTCCTCACCATTGTCTTTGAGGGATTAGAAAGCAAATATGGCATTGAACTAGAAAGAAACTGGACCATACTTAAAAACAAGAAATGTATGGGAGTTCTTCATCCACACTGCATAAGAAGCAAAAGTAAGCCTGTTATAATGGAGATGGAAGAAGACTTCAAATCATCTGCACCAGAAGGTCAGTTTAATGTTTTTTTTTTTCTTGGTGACTGAATCAATACACTGTGTCGCATATCTTGTTACTTGTAGCTTTAAAAGAAAAATAATGTTACAGGCTGTCTCTCATTGTTGTACATGGTTTAATTATCTAGTACATTAAGAGACAGCCTGTGTAATTTCATGGAAATTTCACTGAGTGATTTTCCCATCTTTATGATGTGGTTACTATAAGGTTCATTGGTGGGGTAAATTACGCTCAAATATGGCCAGTAGTTTCATGTATCATTGAAGTGCATGAATCAAAACATGTATGCACTCCATTGATCACAGATTTAGTTATAATTTTTTACTCTGTTATGACAGAACAGGAAATGGGCTAATAGTGTGTCTTCCTGTAAATGTTTTTAAAGGAGACAACAACAATAAACAACAAAAATGTTTTTTTTATTAATTTTACTGTTGTTTAAAAATTGAAGTATGTTGTTCTTGCACTTTCCTCTAGCCCCCTCAAATGCTCCAAAGATAGAGGAAGTTCACTCCGTACCAAAAGTTCCAGAACCTAAGTACAAAATAATAAAGGAGCCACCAGAAGGAATTCCAGAGTTTCTTGTCATAGAAATTGCCCTGCCTGGAATTGTGAGTGCTATGAAATTTCTTTTTTAACGCAAACTTGTATTACAGTCTTAAACCATTATTTTAGCATGATTATTATAACAGTGATAATGCTTCATTGTTAGCTGTCTCTCAAATGACATGCCTGAGGAAGGAAGTTCTTGTTTTTGGTTTGTTTTGTTTTGTTTTTGTTTTTTGTTTTTTTTCATATTTGGCATGCTGAAAAATGGGTGGAGTTACTACAAACAAAGTCACCCTGAAAATGACTTGCTGCTGAGCAAAATAGCATAATAGTGGGCAAAATAACATACCACCATCCCCATCTGTAAATGAACAAATTGATGCACGGGGTTTCAACATAAAAAAAAGTGAAACAAATTATTGTATAATTATCAACAAACATACTCACCTATGAAGAAGTCAAATCTAATAAAGCACCAAGTCTGCTAACAAACACATTAACACTTAATGAATGAGATGCAAGAATCAAGACTCAAGTTTAATCACATTTAGAGTTTCTAAAAAGCAGGATTTTAAAATATTCCTCACTCGAAAGGATTTCGAGTAAACAAGAAAATTATGTATTGTTTTAGGACAGAACAATAACAATTGGCTCATATGGAAGTATCAGTTCTGTCATGCACATGCACATGCACATGCACCCTGATAACGTTTAAAGCCCCATAAGGGACTGACTTAAACTGGGTATGATATTATTACATGTAGCTCCAGTTGTGCAAGATATGCAGCTAGGTACATGTACATACCCATGGAATAATGATATTAGTAATATTATTAGAAAGCAAAGTAAATCCTTCCTACATTGTAAGGTAGTGAAACCACATCTAAGGTGACAGAGATGTGATGGTGAATTTTGAGCCTGGTGAATATATGAGAAAGATGATTTTTCAGTCAGTGACAAAGGCAAAAGTTCATAGGTTCGACTCCTATTGTAATTTGCATTTTTTCTTCCAAACTGCCTCTGTCACTGACTGAAAAATCATCTTTCTCATAACTATGGTGCACCAAAAATGTTTTCTTTCCCCATGCAGAAATCAACAAAGGACACAACATTAGATGTTGGTGAGGACCAAGTAGTTCTTCATGTTCATCCAGCTAGATATCACCTGGACCTTGGTTTGCCATTTGATGTCGACAGTGAGACTTGTGGTGCACAGTATAACAGGAAGACTAAGGTAACGTCACGATACAAGAAAAATAAAATGTTACTTTGTATTTTTAGCCATTGACAAAGGAACCTAACCAACAAACCACACTAAAAGTTATTGAGTTCCAGGCTCTCATTCAAGGAAAACAATCTTGATTTATCAAGTGATTCTTCCCAGAAAAGCCAGTTAACACAAAAACTTTGCTTTACAGCAAAGTATTGATCAGCTGTGTCAAGTTTCAGACCAGTCCTAGACACTGTAATGAATTATCCCTACAATGTAATTCTGGAATAATTTTCCATTGTCAGCATAAGTGCACCAAAAATTGCAATTGAATAATAATATTATTGCAGTAAATATTACATGTACGCTGCCTAAAAGTAGAATTACTTTCTGGAGAAGGATTTAAGGGTGTCACAAAAAGTACCAATAGTTGTGTATTTACCGTAAATACTGAAATTAATGCGCTGACCTTCAAATAAGTGCCCCCCTTTTGTACTGGTGCCTCTTTGAGAGAAATAATATTTAAAAAGCACTCTCCCTGCTTCCAACCCTCATTCCTCCAAGAAAGAAAATTGTCATTAAATAATCTGGAATAGAGAGATTCCATTATGACAGGACCTCAGAGAAATGCGACATTTAAAGCAAACACACAAAGATTTGTGTTTCTTGTCACAGATACACTCCAATTTGCTGCTACAGTCTGCATTTAATGGAAAATATGAAGTCAAACTAACCGACCACCCCTTCAAATATCCACCCCCCTTTGAATTATGCCCACTCTCAACACACACACAAAAAGTAAATAAGTACCCCAGGTGCTAATTCAGGCATAAAGGTGCATCATGTTTTGACAACTACACAACAATGGGCAATATCTAATGCTTAGTCTGTCTTTTCAACAACTATAAAAAAAATGTTGTTAGCCTTGAAGGAAATGGAAAGAAGGAACCATAATAGTCAGAGCTTGTGTACCTACATGTACATCAAAGCAAAACTCCATATGTCTAGTATAAATTTATAAGAAATTATTATTTTGACTCTTCTTTTCCAGATCCTGACTCTTACTTTACCTGTTATCAGCAAAAGCTAGCGCCATGGGCATTGTTAATTATCATTAATATTTTGTATTAAGTTATTCTAATATTTAGTGTTAAGTATTAATCAAATTTATCAACTATGAAATGTATGATAGTCTATAATAAACAATAATAACGTTATTAATCTCCTCAAAAAGGCTTTTCAGCTTAATTTTCAATGTCAAATATCTAAAACTTAGTTTTCCAAAAATACCCTTTAAAAATGCTGTTTTATTTTAACTTTAAATACATCTAAATTAGTGATGACTGAAACTCTTCTGGGAGACTATTCCACAGCCTTTGGCCTCTGAAGGTAAACGCGCGCTGACCTGCAGCGGTCCTACAGAGTGGTATATGTAGGCGGTCCCTATTCCTAGTGTTGCTGTTGTGCCCTTCCGATCTGGTTTTAAACTTCTGACAAAGATATGGGGGTGCAAGTCCATTTAAGCATTTAAATACCATGGTAGCATCCCTAACCTCAAGTTGTTTAACAATTGGCAGCCACTGTAACTGCTTAAGAATAGGTGTAACATTATCAAATTTCCTTGTTCCAGAAACTATCCGGACTGCAAAAATTTGCATTGTCTGTAATAGCTCGATGTTTTTCTTGGTGGTATTAGCCCATACCAGAAACCCATAATGAGTTTCTGCCCATACTGATGAACAATACAATAATTTACTGAATACGAGAGAATTAACTGTGACTGTAGTGTATGTAACTATGACTGTAATGTATGATAGTCTGAGTCTTTATGAAATTTGTTGTCAAAAGGATACAGTCGGGAGGATAAACTAGAATTTACCTTTTTGTTACAAAGTGAAAACTCTCATCCGGGGTTGTTCACAAATAGGATTTCTCGCCGTTGCAAAAAGCACAAGCAACAGAGGCTAACCATTAATATATTATAATAATATTATTAATGATAAAAATGTTTATTATGGGCAAAACTGGATTCCCTAGTTTTCAACAAGGAATGAAAACTGGGACATTCCCTTAGTTGTTCCCGAAAGCTGGTGTCTTCCCTGTGCTTTAGCCATTTGTTGTCACTGATGGTAGCAAGGATCCTGCAGGAGGTAGCATAGCTGAGCAGCCGTATGTTAGAGTGCTTATTTGTAATCTGGTGATAGTGAGTTCAAGTCCCACCATGACCGCTAGAAGTTCAAATCCTGGAGCACACTAACTTGTAAAAAGCCAAATGGTACACTTACAGGCAGTTGGGATTCTGAACCTTGTTACATGTAGCATCTATTTGATTAAAACTATTTCAGTCGCGATTTACTGGGCCCCACTAGCCTTTGTGTCGTAAATAAACAGTACTGCCAACTGTGAAATTGTATTATTATCCGCCCATTGCAGTCGGGTATCATGTGACTTATCTCATGCCAGATTATGGGATACAACAAACCCTACAAATACAAGAGATAGAAAGAACATAAAACAAAATCAATGGTGGGTTTGGCAAATTTTTTAGGTTTTTAACTGGACTTCTCCAAAGCATAACAAGTCATCTAATGAAGATGAAATTATGGTATATCATATAATCATTTGAAATGTGGGAGAAAGATCTCAATCGCTGTGTGTTTTGCTGCCAGCAAGGGGCCTTTTGTGAAGGCTGTTACAACAAACTATAGTGCAAAGCAGCCAACAGTAAGTATAGCCAAAGCCACAATACTGACTGAAAACAGCACATTAGGCTGCCAATGGCTGGATAAAAATTACATGTAACATAGTTTTTGTTTTATAATGTTTGAATTTTAAAGTTTTGGTGTCATGCAAAAAAAAGTGTTAGCCAAGAAAGTTGTCACAAGCTCTTAAGCAATCGCTTCTTGTTTTTAAAACAAAACTAAATGATACATACAGCACTAAAATAAAGCTTAAGGTGGCTTGCTACAGTTTTCAGATGAAAACTATCGTCTTTTTCAAACTGGAACATTCCTAGCATCTAAAGGCCTCTACTGAACTGTTTATCATTGCAATTGATGTAAATTGTCATTTTGCCGTCTAAAAACATTTTATTGCTTAGTATAATGTGGCCTTTGCCTTGGGAGAGTAAGTTTTACCAGTTGCTCACCCAGCAAGAAGAAATTTTTTTCCCAGACCACCGGACAGGACTCTTTTCGAGCCCCGACGTCTTTCTGATAATTTCTCGGCACCATGTTGCTATCCTTGAAACCCAACTTTAATTTCACCCTTCATTCTCACTTCAATGTAATTACCCCCTCATTAAATTATTGCAATATAAGTGCTCACTATAAGCTCCAGGGCCCAGTTTAAAGTTAACCCCCACTGGTTTCTTTTTCTTGTGTTGAAAAGCATTTTCTCGGATAATTTTCTCTGTTATTTTTAGAGCTTCCAATCATCAACTTGCAGACAAAAGGAATTAAAACTGAAATGCTGTTTAAGCTTTCAAATCTGAATTCTAATCTCGCAGTAACCCTGGGTTATCTTAACCAGCTTCGAACAACTCAGCCCAGTATATTACTTGCTGCGCTATTATTCACACATCACATGAGATAAGAAAATAGATTCTGCTCATTTTGTGGGAAAAAATATTACTTTCACTTCTCAATAACCATCAATTTCCAAAAAAAGATAGTTTAATATTGTTTCTGAAACATGAATTTTACTACAATCAATATGTCAGCTAATAAAATTAAATTATGTGAATTGTATGTCATGCACTGGCAATAAATAAAGAAGAAGTCACTAAATTTAATTTGATTTTTGACACATTGGAATTACTACATTAATTTTAGTAGACTTGCACAGAGTCATCCTCTTTATCAGTTACACAGAACAAACATTTGTCAGCATCTCTAAAGTGAGCAAAACAACCCTACATGAAGCAACTTAGTGAGCGACATAGTCTTGTGACAAAACAAAACTGCACAACTGTAAGGGACACTATGAAAGCCTATGTTTAACTGCGAAATGTGGTTGGAAAAAAGCTTACAATAACAACAGCTACTAATACTCATTTGCCACGCATATCACATTACAAAATGTTACAAAACTATAATACACACTACTGATAGATCCAGACCTTGCAGTAGGAGTGGGGAAGGGGGATGTTCCACTCCCCTGTCCCCCTTGATCTAACACAGCAGACATTTTCAGGGGCGTAGCCAGCTTTTTGACTAGTTGTAGGCCTGGCTGACTTTCATTTCCACATATCCTGAAAATTGCACGCACGACTAGTTCACATTGACCTCACCAAAACTTTGTGCTCTCAAGCTTTTTAGCTCACCCCAACAACACATAATTTATTACAAGCGGTAGAGTGATCAAACCAGAAATTTGTAGGCCCAGGCCTACAGGTCTATGGGCTGGCTACACCCCTGATTTTTACTTTTAGGTCTTGTTTTTCTCTCTTTTTTTTTACCTATGTACAAAGTTATAAAAATAGAAATACTACACAGGATATTTAATTTACAAAAGGCAATTTTACACAGAAACTATGGGGGAAATCTTTGAAGAGCTTCAAGAAGCCTTTTGTTTGTATATTTCTTTTCATCTCAGTATGCAAGGTGTTGAATTTTTTAAGTGCAGGTCTTGGTTGCCCAAAAGACTGCTTCCATGGGCACCATTCATTTTCAGTGTATTTCATTCCGGGGGGGATTACTTTAGGAATTTCTGGGTAGGGATGTGCCGCTGGGACCCTGGAACCCTTAACCTATAGCAGAGCTAGTTCAGCTAAATTTTGCTACCCAATACTAGAACTTCCCAAATCCCCCCTATCCTAGAGTAGCTGTTTCCCTAGTCTAGCTAAAATCTTCAACCAACTGATCAGTTTCCTGAAAAATGATATCCTACTCTACACCCAAACGCTCTGATTTATATACCCTATCCTAGAGTAAACTGCTTGAAAACCATACCCTTCACAGCGTACTATTTAAATGCTGAAGTGGTTCCATTTGAGTGATCACACCGGAAGATTTTATCCACAGACTCAACAATTTGTCCCTCTGAGAGGATGGGTTAATTTTTGGTCTCTATGCTAC